CGAAAGAACTTTTAAAAATATTAATTTGATACTAATATCGATATAATTTTTTTTCAAAGTTTTATGATATTTTCAAATTTATATTTTATTCAAAAATAAAAACATTATCGTTTTTTTCAAAACCACATAAAACTGTATTATATTGACATAAAAAAAGAATAAAACAAAACACTGAAATCAAGATGTGTCTCGATGCATTGCACGAATAACCTTCTAGTACACCTAAAAGCATCTGTAACATGCTTAAATCTCTTAAATAAAATAGTTTAATTACATGATTAATGTTTAAATCTTCAAATAGATAATTTATTAATAATATAATTGTATTTAAATACTTTAACTTCTGATTTTTTTATTTTAAAAATATATTAAAGATACTCTAATAAATCTTAAAATATTATTGCTATATCTCCTCCTTTAAAATTAAATGCAACATTTATAATTTGAGTTGGGACCAAGGGACAGGTTGCACACCACATCAACCCCCAACAAAATGATTAATTTCTTGTCCCAAATCCTTACCATAAATAATATAATTCAAATAGGAGTATTTTATTAGTATTTTTAAATTTTGTATATTATAATGTTTTATCATACATAATAAAATTATCAAGAAACCGTAACTTTTAATAAAATAAAAATATTTAAAATTATAATTGATTTAGGATTCAAGTCTTATATTGTCGACAAAAAAACTAAAAATTACGTTCATTTATGGTCCTATTAAACACAAAACATACGCAAAGTTTTTATTTATTTATGGTTTATGTGTTGATAGGGTTCAAACAAGAACCATTATTTTATGAACGGCAAAAAAAATAAAGGTAAAAATACTGAATTGTGTTTCATTTAAGAGACTTTTTTAATGTCATTATCTTAAAGGACGAAAAAGGAAACAAAATTATAAAAACCATATGGACGGAAAAAGCAACTTTTAAAATCAAGGACGAAAATAGTTATGAACAGTAAACCACAGGAATGAAATCATAGTTTACTCTTACAAATATAAATGAGGTAAGAGTATGTCATTATTTACGGTGTTTTGGTGTTAGATAGAGAATCAAATAAAAAAATGACATTATTTGAAACAGTTATTTAATGTTTCATAAGACATGACTAATAAAATGATCAATTTACCCCTAATGAGTTCCTTATATATGTTCTATGTTTAATTATTTTATTTAATATATTAAATTATAATAAATAAATATTTGTTATAATAAAATATATTATCAGGAAATTTTTTCACTATATTAAAATGATGATAAAAAAAAGTTTTTTAATTTTTAATTATAGAAAACATATAAAATTAATATTCCAAAGAAAATGAAAGTGTTTTAATGTGTCATACATAAATTTATAGCACAAACGGGGCTTTATTTCGAAGCAGACTCAGCGGCACCCACCATCATCACCACCACCACCACCACGATCTGTATATGGCCAGCCTATGGCGAGCCGTGATGGGCGAAACACCACCAAACGCCGACGATTACGACGGCGTCGAATATTGGTCAAACCCTGAGCGCACCGGCTGGCTCACCAAGCAAGGAGAGTACATCAAGACCTGGCGCCGGCGTTGGTTCGTTCTCAAACAAGGCAAACTCTTCTGGTTCAAGGAGGCCATCGTCACCCGCGGATCACGTCCCCGTGGCGTCATACCTGTCGCTACCTGCCTCACTGTCAAAGGAGCCGAAGATGTCCTCAACAAGCAGTTCGCTTTCGAGTTATCCACCCGATCCGAGACCATGTACTTCATCGCCGATTCTGAAAAGGAGAAGGAGGATTGGATCAATTCGATTGGACGGTCAATTGTTCAGCACTCGAGGTCCGTCACTGACAACGAGATTGTTGATTATGATAGCAACAGATGATTAATTCATCTCTGCTTTTCTCAATTTTACGTGTAAAATTAGGTATGATGCTTTTATCTTTGATGCTTCCTTTGTTTCAGTATGAATCAAAATATTGTTTTTGTGGTTTGATAATTATATAATTTAATGCTTTCAACGTGTTCCTAAATAATTGAGATCTTGAATTTTCCCAGTCGTTTTGGTTTGCTGTTGCTAAGTTAAAATTTAGGTGTAATTGTTAGATGATTCCAATCATATCTTCACACAATCTGCTATTATTCTTGACGATTAGTATTACGTGTTCATTGAGTTAGAATCTTTACAATTGGTTTCTAAACAGCATGCTTCAAAAATGCCAAAACAGCACTTCAGTAGCCAGAGGAAGTGTAATTTTTCACTGTTTTTTTGGCTAACAGTGGTGTTTCTTTGACTCATCTCCCAAGCCAAATACTGTGTTGCATTTCTGCAAGTATAGCAGGTAAGGTGAAGTGAAATGGTCCGAAATGCTAATCACTTCTTTGTTTATCTTATGAGTTTGAAGGATTTTAGAATGTTCTGTAAATTGTAATGGAAAAATGCAGACTGTAGTTTCTAGAGDTKGTAAGGCCTAAACAACCTGCAATAGTTTTTAGGGCCTTCGACTATGACCCTAATATCCTTATTCTTATTGATCGGTCCTCCAATTTATGCCATTACCTTATCAAGTTGTGTTACKWCTTGTTCTTCATCTAACTGATTCCTATTTATATAGACCCCTCMTCAACCTTCTCCTGCCTCTTCTATTGATCACCAGAAAATGTGACTATCCTTAACAATCAAATTCATAGATTAATTGATAGATCAAATGGCATTCATAGATCAACCTTCTCTATACAGAACAGGTAGGGGAATTTTGTTAAGTTGATTACAACTTTTCTTGAGCGGTAGAAATTGTTTGATTTTTATGCAAAATTTAACACTTCGTTGATTACAAAAACTGGAGAGCCTGGATTGTCATTGTGTATCTGAATGGAACTTTCTTTTGATCTGCGGGGATTTCATGATGTGCGACTGTGAAAMCTCGATCCTGTTGGTTCTGATTAGTTTTAACAGAGTCTGCTCATCTAGTTAGTCATGATTAACTTCAACCAACTCAGAATCTTGTTAGTCTTCTGATCAATTTTCTCCAATTCTGCAAACCAAACCAAACCAACCCAAGATCCCACCCAAAGGTGGGGTCTTGGGGGAGGTGAGATGTATCATGTATGCAAACCTCACCTCCACCTCGAAGAGTAGAGTGACTGTGTTTCTGTGAAGACCTCCGGCTTGTGCATAGTGTACAAAAAAGGATAAAAATGATTGCAGAAAATATGTAAACATAACATAGGAAGAACATTAGAAAACAAGTCGGTATTAAAATTTGAAAAATGAGTTGAAAGTAAGCAACCAAAATCTAGCAGACAAACCGAAATCCTACCCGAGGTAGGAAGGACTACACATCCCTAGTCTAACCTAGGATTCAGGGATCTAACCTACAGCTCACTAACCCTATCCTCTACMTCCAAGATCTCTTCCTGCCGTCTAGGTTCAAACMCCACCCGTAATCTTGCTCATGTCTTRGGAAATTMTCTAAGTACATCAAATGAGTTGGCCTAAGTGGTTGACCTCTTATTTTTCTTTTGAATTGCAACTGTTCTATAGCTTATTTTGGTTTCAGTTTTAGCCCATCCCAAGCGGTTATARATAAAAGACTTRGGTGTTGTTTGTTTGTTAAGAGGTGTTGAACTCTGAAATCTTACTTCATTTTCCTAATGATAAGAAATGGTGTTGGAGTCTATCAATAAGACTGTTTGTTTTTGTAAACYGGTAAATATTTGAATGTATGTAATTGCTGATTAAATGCTGCAGTAGCTGGCTCCTGGCTGTATAGATTAASTGAKAGCATACTTCATTTTAAGTCCTGAGTTTTTCCCAGTCAGCAGTTCAAATACATGTAGCAAATATATGTTAGATTTTTCCACTTCTTTTAGCATTATCAGTGTTTGAAATGTAGCAGTGGAATCTTATCATCAAACTTTGTGGTTGTGATGCCATTTAGTATACGTGCTCAAGTGGGAACCACACCACGAGCAACATGGTACTTGTCATATTTTTATAGGCCAGTTTCATTAGGTATGAAATGTGAGTGAGGAGGGCATGAATAACCTCATTTATTTTGTGCATAAATTTATGAACTGTGAAGAGTCGAATTAGCTGCATGGTTTTAGATGAGTTCCAAGATGTTGAATAATAACTACATATGAGAAGGGTAGTTTTCCTCACAGCTATGAAAATACACAAATAATTTATAGATTTTGAATTTAATAAATACCTTTTTACCTGCCCACAAATTCTTCTCATATGATTTTACAAGTTGATGAAACTTCCTTAGGAAACTAAATAAATATTCGATACTGTCCAAAAATCTGACCAATGCAACCTAATCTAGGGGTATCATCTAAGTTGCCAACCATGCACATTGCATTACAACATGTGATCTTAAATTTTGGTGCTACAGTTTGCATTTTTATCAAATATACTTTGTTGTGCTCTTTGTGATTTTCAATCATCAAAATTACACTTCATATTGCACCGCACCGCACCGCATGTATACACACATACATTATTAAAATCCAAATTTAATGAAAATCCATCTTTCATATTTATTTATTTTTCTCTCATTTTTATTTTTAGTTAAAATGTTTTCAACATATTAATTGTTGAAACTTCTTTTTTGTTTTTTGTTTTTCCATTTTTCAGTTATTTTTAAATATTTTCAACACATTAAATTGTTTTAAACTTTTCATTTTTTAAATTTAAATAATCAATACATACAAACATAAATATCTTATTAAAATCATTAATATATGGATGAGCTATCAAATGCAAACCACCCAATTTGTACTAACCATGCAAACCACCACCATCCGTCGATTTTATTGTTTAATCTTATGAAAATTTTTCATGAAATTGTTTAATCTTATGAAATTGTTTCATATAATACTTTTTTTGATGAAGTTGTATCATATATGGTTATGAAATTGTTTCATATAATACTTAATGAAATTTTAATGAAACTGTTTCATGTATTTATCTAAAATTAAAATAATGAAGATGATAATATCTATGATTAACACCCTCCGCAAAAAAAATGATTAATCAACCTCTCATAATTACAAAAAAAATGAACAAAATAAAAAGTTATGATTGGTTGAATAAAGTTTGTACAAATAACGTGGTTTGCAAAATAAACCTCCTATATATATATATGTATCTATATATAAATCATTTTATTTTATTTCTTAACTTATATTTCATATAGCAACTGACATTTCTCATTCCATACACACATACATACACAAATATATATACACATACATATATGGTCTAAATGAGAACCACAAAAAAGATTACAAACATGTGAGAATCGATTTGAAAATATTTTTTACATGATTTTTCCATTAAATGTTAGGATTTAATATCTTATTTCACATGTATTTGTTTTATATGTGATAGTTTTACATTTATTTGTTTCATCATGTGAATATTCTAACTTGTATTTTTCGTTTCACGAAAGACATCTCCAACCCAACTGTTAAAAAAAATACTAAAAATGATGGATAATTTGAACAGTAAAAACAACAACTTTAACCGTACACTAAAAAACAAACTAAAAACACCATTAACATTATAATAATAATAATAATAATAATAATAAAATAATATATGCATTTATTATTATATTAAAATATAATGATTACGATATATAATTACT